AAAAAAAAAAGACAAAGGATGGGAAAGTGCAGAATGTTCATATCTGTTACCACTAAAGGCAAAAGCACAATTTGAGTAAGAGGAGTTATGGGTATAACTGAGACTGCCTGCACATATGTCCCAGCCTCCAGCACTCTTGTCCACGCCAGAGACATTAATAAAATGGAAAGCAACACGCACACATACACACAAAATATATAAAATTAATCATAAGCCAAGGCAGGGCCACATGTAATCTAGGTAAGGCCACCTTGGGGAAAATTCCAGGGATGAATTTGAGAAAAGCTGTACCAGAGGCAACAGACAAAGGCATGAAGTCGTAAAGGAAAGAACTGAGTAATGTACTAAAAATCCATGCTGAGTCAAAGCATTCGAGAGTATTTTTGGATCCTGATCACCTACTTTATCCCAGTGACAATGGTCAAGACAGGTGAGAAATCACATGGCTGCAGCTCTAATCATCCATATCTGGGTCTAGAAGGATGCACTGACCCCTGCCCTGTGTATAAGATGACCCACTCCTTTCCACCCTCCCCTATTCTGCAGTTTCTCCCCGGCCTCTGCCAGCAGGCAGGACCTCAAGCCGGCTAAGCTCCCAAACGACCGTGATGCCGACCGGGAGGCCCCCTGCCCTGGATCACGGCCTGAGCTAGGACCATGGGCCCCCTGGGAGCAGGGGTGCCCTTCGAGTATGCTGCAGCTAGGACCCACTCTGATCTGGCCCTGAAAGCACACACTCCTCCGTAGACTAGTTCACAAATATCCCTTCTGTGCCCCCCAGGCCATGAGATAGAGACCTGGGTGTCTGTGACAGCACTGTGAGACAAGAGAAATACTTACATCAGAAATAGAACGACATAGTTGCAAATTGGAAGAGGAACATATTTAGCCCTAGTACCCACGGGCAGGCTGCCGCAGCCAGGGGCTGTGCACCCGAGTGGCCCACAGGGATGCATTCATGAGGCTGGCTGGGAGCGCTGGCCCTGTGTGGAGTGAAAGTTCATGCCCCTTTTTGCCCAAGCCAGAAAGCTTGAATTCCACAGTTAGGTTCAAAAGGAACTCCTAGAGAATTGATAAAGAATTTAGTAACTAGCTTATCAATTTGCAGGCTCTGAAGCCTGATGTTGTCAGGATACTCAGAGGGAAGGTGTCTTTCAAGGACAAACTTTCATGAAATCAAACTTAATAGGCTGATAAACACAACTGAATACCCAGTTTTTGTTTTAAAAATTTTTGTTTTGTTTAAAACTATAGTGTGTGTCCCTCTTGGTAGATGACCACGGGAAGCCAAAACAAAACCAGAGCTTCCTTCAAGAGCGTGCCATCTCTACCCAGAGGGTCTCAGTGTTTAAGGGCATCCAGCTAAGAGTCTGCAGCCTCCATTTGCATGACAGGAGCAGCCCTGCCCGGGGACCCAACCCGTTGGTGCCTCTGGCCAACTTCCCCTACCCTGTGCAAGGGTGAACATTTCCAAGAGTTGCCTCTGTGACTCATTTTTCCCTACACCCAGTTGTCTCCAGCACTCCTCTGTCTTCTAATTGATTCTTTGTTCCTTTATATATTTTACTACCTGCAGCCTGGCTCTCTTTTTAGTTATTGTAGACCTGGCAGCCGATCCTGACCAAAAGCAGGAAAAAGTGAAGACTGATTCCCTTTGCTCTTGTACCTACTCCATTAAATACACATACCCTTTTATCTTACATTTCTACTTCTAGGAATTTATCCTAGAGAAACCCTCAGGTAACTGCACAAAGACTTATGCACAGGATTTTCAACACAGCATTGTTTATAGTAGTGAAAATGTGGGAAACTACCTGTCTGTCAGTGACACCCTCTTCCATTCCCCTTTTTGAGCAGAGACAGGGCATGAGCCCAACCCTCACTGGAGATGGTAAAAGCTCCTTGAATGCTCTGTGTCACTGGATCATCTTATACACGGGGCAGGGTCAGTGCATCCTTCCAGACCCAGATATGGATGATTAGAGATGCAGCCATGTGATTTCTCACCTGTCTTGACCATCGTCACTGGGATAAAGTAGGTGATCAGGATCCACAGATACTCTCGAATACTTTGACTTGCATGGATTTTTAATACATCACTCAGTTCTTTCCTTTATGACTTACTTCATGCCTTTGTCTGTTGCCTGTGATATAGTTTCTCTCAAATTCATCCCTGGAATTTTCCCCAAGGTGGCCTTACCTAGACTACATGTGGCCCTGCCTTGGCTTATGATTAATTTTATATACTTTGTGTGTGTCTGTGTGTGTGTGTTGCTTTCTATTTTATTATAATGTCTCTGGCATGAAGAGGAGTGTTGGAGGCTGGGGCATATGTGTGAGCAGCATTAGTTACACCCATAACTCCTTCTGTTAAAACTGTGCTTTTG